AGGATTCTAGTATCCAGAACATAGATCCCATAAGACTTTGAGTAGCGTAAGCTCAATCACAACCATCACAAACAAAACCAAGCATAAAATCTACAAAAATAATTTATAATCAAAAATAAAAGCCGGGCACGGTGGCTCACGCCTACAATCCTAGCACTCTGGGAGGCCGAGGTGGGCGGACTGCTCAAGGTCAGGAGTTCGAAACTAGCCTGAGCAAGAGCAAGACCCCATCTCTACTATAAACAGAAATAAATTAATTGGCCAACTAAAAATACATATAGAAAAACTTAGCTGGGCATGGTGGCTCATGCTTGTAGTCCCAGCTACTTGGAAGGCTGAGGCAGTAGGATTGCTTGAGCCAGAAGTTTAAGGTTGTTGTGAGCTAGGCTAACGCCAAGGCACTCACTCTAGCCTGGGCAACAAAGTAACAAACATAATACACAAAAATATACAACAAGAATAAATAAATAAACAAAAATAAAAATGGAATAAAGCATATCTTAACCAAACAACATTTTAAGTTAATCAAACTCCACCTTGAATTTGATTTAATAAAATATAACTTAATAAAGTTGACTTTACTATAGTCATATACTCAAGAAAAAATATGAGCTAAGGTAAAAACAGAAAAAACAAATTTTATGAATAAAAAAATAGTAATCCTGGGAAGCTGAGACAGGCGGATCGTTCAAGGTCAGGAGTTTGAAACCAGCCTGAGCAAGAGCGAGACCCCATCTCTACTAAAAATAGAAAGAAATTAATTGGCCAACTAAAAATATATAGAAAAAATTAGCTGGGCATGGTGGCACATCCCTGTAGTCCCAGCTAGTTGGGAGGCTGAGGCAGAAGGATAGCTTGAGCCCAGAAGTTTGAGGTTGCTGTGAGCTAGGCTGATGCTATGGCACTCTAGCCCGGGCAACAGAGTGAGACTCTGTCTCAAAAAAAAAAATTTTAAAAAAATAGTAATGAAGGCAGTTATTAGACTAAGTCTGATACATTAAGTTATACCTAATTCTGAATGTGTGACATTTTGAGTTAAGCTTTAGGTCAGTGATAAAGATGAGGTGTGGTTAACCTTTTATGGGTTGACAAAACATTTTATTAAAGGGCCAGATAACAAATATGCTAGGCTTGTGGGCCACACAGTCTCTGTCACAACTATTAATATTTAATTCTGCTACTGTAGCATGCAAGCAACCACAGACAACACATAAATGAATGAGTGTGGCTGGGTTCTAATAAATCTTTATTTATAAAAACAGGTGGTTGGCCCATGGCCATTATTTGCCAACCCTGTCCTAGAGTCTCAAAGTGACTTCTCAATAATTCTTTTCATCTAAACAGTGTTATTTCCCTCTGAACACTTTCACATAAACTGTATTAGTGTTTCATTAAAGCCTCTACAGACACCTGTAAGGCCACTTGACATTTATTCTCTTGTTTTATAGATTAAGAAACTGAAGCTCAAAGGGATTGAGAGACTTGACCTGAGGACTACTAGTAGAGCTGGACTAAAAACCAGGCCTTTGTTCTTCTCATAACTCTTAACCATCATCCTCCATGTCCAATCCTCCAATGCCCCTATTGAAACATATAAATCATTTTTAGAATCTTCTGCTGGATCTCTAAGTTCTTTTTAGCAGGTTCATCTATTAACAATAAGATATCAAGAATATCTACTTACCAACTTATTAACTTCACTTATGAAGTCAAATTATTCTCAAGTGCTTTCTCTCTCTACATGATCCCCATCTTCTTCCATTTGAGCTATCTTCAAAAGTCTCCTAAAATATCACTTAATCTTCAAATAGTCACAAGAAGAAAGGCAGTACACCTTCTTAAGGAGTTGTAAATTATTTTAATCATCTAGTAAGAATTTCTGTACTCAGTAATATAAATGAGGTAAAAGGCCTGGTGGCTGCCTTTGCAAAGCTTATAATGTAGTTGAGAAATATGAGATACATAAACATGAAACTAATGCATTTCCATGTAACCTAACCTAGGCCAACTCTAAGAAATTTAAAACAAAGAAATAAGAAGTGATAAAACATAATTTATGGTATATACCATCATAAAATATGTGCCTTACATGCTACTGAGGCCACAATAATGGCCTAAATTTTGCAAAATGAAAGTTCTAATAAAAAGTAACTATAAAGACCCCTTAGACATGGTAATAATACAGTCTAAAAGTTAAACTGGATCACATTTTTTAAAAATTGTAGGAGCTGTTTTCTTTTATTTTTTCCTATTTTGTTCTAGTTACTGCCATGAAGTTATATCGGACTAACTTCCTGGTCAAAAACAACTACTGAAGACAAAGTATAAGATACTCTCTCACTTTGTGTGGTAGTGTGGGACTGGAAAAGTGACCATGCAAACTGAAACTGTGTAAACTGATCTTAATAATTAATGGTGAAAATTATGATTATTCTGTAGTGTTTAAAAAGTTTGGCCAAACCATTAAAAACTCTTACTAGGCCGGGCGCGGTGGCTCACGCCTGTAATCCCAGCACTCTGGGAGGCCGAGGCGGGCGGATTGCTCAAGGTCAGGAGTTCAAAACCAGCCTGAGCGAGACCCCGTCTCTACCATAAAAATAGAAAGAAATTAATTGGCCAACTAATATATATAAT